ACACTCACACATCAGGTGATAATCATGCTAACACGAAGGTCACACTCACACATCGGGTGATAATCATGCTAACACGAAGGTCACACTCACACATCGGGTGATAATCATGCTTACAGGAAGGTCACACTCACACATCAGGTGATAATCATGCTAACCCGAAGGTCACACTCACACATCGGGTGATAATCATGCTAACACAAAGGTCACACTCACACATCAGGTGATAACCATGCTGACACAAAGGTCACACTCACACATCAGGTGATAATTATGTTAACACAAAGGTCACACTTACACATCAGGTGATAATTATGATAACACAAAGGTTACAACCCACACATTATTTAACACAAAGGTCACACTCACACATCACGTGATAATTATGTTGACACACAGGTCACTCACACATTATGTTGACACAAAGGTCACATCACACATCAGGTGATAATTATGTTAACACAAAGGTCACACCCACACATCAGGCGATAATTATGTTGACACAAAGGTCACACTCATACATCAGGTGATAGTTATGTTAACACAAAGGTCACACTCACACATCAGGTGATAATTATGTTAACACAAAGGTCACACTCACACATCAGGTGATAATTATGTTAACACAAAGGTCACACTCACACATCAGGTGATAATTATGTTACACAAAGGTCACAACCCACACATCAGGTGATAATTATGTTAACACAAAGGTCAGAACACACACATCAGGTGATAATTATGTTGACACAAAGGTCACACTCAACACGTCAGATGATAATTTAGTTAACACAAAGGTCACACTCACACGACAGGTGATAATTATGTTAACACAAAGGTCACACCCACACATTATCTTAACACAAAGGTCACACTGACACATCAGGTGATAATTATATTAACACAAAGGTCACACTCACACATCAGGTGATAATTATGTTGACACAAAAGTCACACTCACACGACAGGTGATAATTATGTTAACACAAAGGTCACACCCCACACATTATGTTAACACAAAGGTCACACTGACACATCAGTGATAATTATGTTAACACAAAGGTCACACCACATATCAGGTGATAATTATGTTAACACAAAGGTCACACTCACACGTCAGGTGATAGTTATGTTAACACAAAGGTCACACTGACACATCAGTGATAATTTTTGTTAACACAAAGGTCACACTCACACATCAGGTGATAATTATGTTAACACAAAGGTCACCCTCACACATCAGATGATAACCATGCTGACACAAAGGTCATACTCACACATCAGGTGATAATCATGCTGACACAAAGGTCACACTCACACATCAGGTGATAACCATGCTGACACAAAGGTCACACTCACACATCAGGTGATAATTATGTTAACACAAAGGTCACACTTACACATCAGGTGATAATTATGATAACACAAAGGTTACACCCACACATTATGTTAACACAAAGGTCACACTCACACATCACGTGATAATTATGTTGACACACAGGTCACTCACACATTATGTTGACACAAAGGTCACATCACACATCAGGTGATAATTATGTTAACACAAAGGTCACACCCACACATCAGGCGATAATTATGGTGACACAAAGGTCACACTCATATATCAGGTGATAGTTATGTTAACACAAAGGTCACACTCACACATCAGGTGATAATTATGTTAACACAAAGGTCACACTCACACATCAGGTGATAATTATGTTAACACAAAGGTCACACTCACACATCAGGTGATAATTATGTTGACACAAAGGTCACACCCACACATCAGGTGATAATTATGTTAACACAAAGGTCAGACACACACATCAGGTGATAATTATGTTGACACAAAGGTCACACTCACACGTCAGATGATAATTATGTTAACACAAAGGTCACACTCACACGACAGGTGATAATTATGTTAACACAAAGGTCACACCCGCACATTATCTTAACACAAAGGTCACACTGACACATCAGGTGATAATTATATTAACACAAAGGTCACACTCACACATCAGGTGATAATTATGTTGACACAAAAGTCACACTCACACGACAGGTGATAATTATGTTAACACAAAGGTCACACCCACACATTATGTTAACACAAAGGTCACACTGACACATCAGGTGATAATTATGTTAACACAAAGGTCACACTCACACATCAGGTGATAATTATGTTAACACAAAGGTCACACTCACACGTCAGGTGATAATTATGTTAACACAAAGGTCACACTCACACATCAGGTGATAATTATGTTAACACAAAGGTCACACTCACACATCAGGTGATAATTATGTTAACACAAAGGTCACACTCACACATCAGGTGATAACCATGCTGACACAAAGGTCATACTCACACATCAGGTGATAATCATGCTGACACAAAGGTCACACTCACACATCAGGTGATAACCATGCTGACACAAAGGTCACACTCACACATCAGGTGATAATCATGCTGACACAAATGTCACACTTGCACATCAGGTGATAACCATGCTGACACAAAGGTCACACTCACACATCGGGTGATAATCATGCTGACACAAAGGTCACACACATCAGGTGATAATCATGCTGACACAAAAGTCACACACATCAGGTGGTAATCATGCTAACACAAAGGTCACACTCACACATCGGGTGATAATCATGTTGATACAAAGGTCACACTCAAACATCAGGTGATAATCATGCTGACACAGAGGTCACACTCACGCATCAGGTGATAATTATGCTGACACAAAGGTCATACACATCAGTAATAATCATGCTGACACAGAGGTCACAATCACACATCAGGTGATAATCATGCTGACACAAAGGTCACACTTGCACATCAGGTGATACTCATGCTAACACGAAGGTCACACTCACACGTCAGGTGATAACCATGCTGACACGAAGGTCACACTCACATATCGGGTGATAATCATGCTGACACAAAGGTCAGATACATCATGTGATAATCATGCTAACACAAAGGTCACGCTCACACATCGGGTGATAATCATGCTAACACAAAGGTCACACTCACACATCGGGTGATAATCATGCTAACACAAAGGTCACACTCACACATCAGGTGATAATCATGCTAACACAAAGGTCACACTCACACATCAGGTGATAATCATGCTAACACGAAGGTCACACTCACACATCGGGTGATAATCATGCTAACACGAAGGTCACACTCACACATCGGGTGATAATCATGCTTACAGGAAGGTCACACTCACACATCAGGTGATAATCATGCTAACCCGAAGGTCACACTCACACATCGGGTGATAATCATGCTAACACAAAGGTCACACTCACACATCAGGTGATAATCATGCTAACACAAAGGTCACACTCACACATCAGGTGATAATCATGCTAACACAAATGTCACACTCACACATCGGGTGATAATCATGCTAACACAAAGGTCACACTCACACATCAGGTGATAATCATGCTAACACAAAGGTCACACTCACACATCGGGTGATAATCATGCTAACACAAAGGTCACACTCACACATCGGGTGATAATCATGCTAACACAAAGGTCACACTCACACATCGGGTGATAATCATGCTAACACAAAGGTCACACTCACACATCGGGTGATAATCATGCTAACACAAAGGTCACACTCACACATCGGGTGATAATCATGCTAACACAAAGGTCACACTCACACATCAGGTGATAATCATGCTAACACAAAGGTCACACTCACACATCAGGTGATAATCATGCTAACACAAAGGTCACACTCACACATCGGGTGATAATCATGCTAACACAAAGGTCACACTCACACATCGGGTGATAATCATGCTAACACAAAGGTCACACTCACACATCGGGTGATAAATCATGCTAACACAAAGGTCACACTCACACATCGGGTGATAATCATGCTAACACAAAGGTCACACTCACACATCAGGTGATAATCATGCTAACACAAAGGTCACACTCACACATCAGGTGATAATCATGCTAACACAAAGGTCACACTCACACATCAGGTGATAATCATGCTAACACAAAGGTCACACTCCACACATCGGGTGATAATCATGCTAACACAAAGGTCACACTCACACATCAGGTGATAATCATGCTAACACAAAGGTCACACTCACACATCAGGTGATAATCATGCTAACACAAAGGTCACACTCACACATCAGGTGATAATCATGCTAACACAAAGGTCACACTCACACATCAGGTGATAATCATGCTAACACAAAGGTCACACTCACACATCAGGTGATAATCATGCTAACACAAAGGTCACACTCACACATCAGGTGATAATCATGCTAACACAAAGGTCACACTCACACATCGGGTGATAATCATGCTAACACAAAGGTCACACTCACACATCGGGTGATAATCATGCTAACACAAAGGTCACACTCACACATCGGGTGATAATCATGCTAACACAAAGGTCACACTCACACATCGGTGATAATCCTGCTAACACAAAGGCACACTCACACATCGGTGATAATCCTGCTAACACAAAGGTCACACTCACACACATCGGGTGATAATCCTGCTAACACAAAGGTCACACTCACACATCGGGTGATAATCATGCTAACACAAAGGTCACACTCACACATCGGGTGATAATCATGCTAACACAAAGGTCACACTCACACATCGGGTGATAATCATGCTAACACAAAGGTCACACTCACACATCAGGTGATAATCATGCTAACACAAAGGTCACACTCACACATCGGGTGATAATCATGCTAACACAAAGGTCACACTCACACATCAGGTGATAAAACAAACCTCAGGATATTTAAGAAGGAAAATGTCACATAACAATTTTTTCATTGCTTTTCTATTTATTTTCCCTTTCTGTTTTTAATTTCCCATTTGTCCTTTGCATATCCTCTCCCCCCGTCTTTCACTCTCGTAATGTAATACATTGATTGTTGTCATGGTACAGGAGCTGGAATATGGTGTTCAACATGGTGACGAAGCGATGGTGTTGGACGCCCTCGCTCGTGGCGCCGACGTCACCATAACAACTAAGATGGATAATGAACAATCAGGCTGCTTGTTGTGTCTGGCAGGGAAAGTGGGTCACGCCCAGCTGGTGCCTCACCTTCTAGCAGCTGGTCTTAATGTAAATGGCTCAGGAGAGTCCTTGCTGACACCAATATACGTAGCAGCACGTCATGGTCATGATCAGGTGCTGAGAGAACTGCTCAAAGCTCAGCCCAACTTAGAAGACAAGAAATATGAAGGTAAGAACCACGACATCTTCTGTATCTTATTATCTTATGTATTTGAACTCACGTATTTGTAATGGAATAAATCTTTGTTCATGTGGGGATCTCTGTTGCTAAAACTATATTATTATACACTGGTCTTATTATATAACAATATTATTATACACTGGTCTTGTTATATAACTATATTATTATACACTGGTCTTATTATATAACTATATTATTATACACTGGTCTTATTATATAACTATATTATTATACACTGGTCTTATTATATAACTATATTATTATACACTGGTCTTATTATATAACTTGACATTCAGTTTTGAACTGATCTACGCACAGATAAGAACGCATGTGAAAAATAAATAACTTTGCAAATGTTTATTCAAAGTCACTAGTATAAAAAATCACAACATTTACATTTACACGCTAGAGTGTGTGTGTATATATGTTCATGTGAGTGTGTGCGTGCGCGTGTAAGTGATGTGTGTGTGTTTATGTGTGTCTGCGTGAGTACGCACCTCACCTAATTTTTTTTATTAACACACTGGCCGATTCCCACCAAGGCAGGGTGGCCCACCAAGGCAGGGTGGCCCACCTAGGCAGGGTGGCCCACCAAGGCAGGGTGGCCCACCAAGGCAGGGTGGCCCACCAAGGCAGGGTGGCCCACCAAGGCAGGGTGGCCCACCAAGGCAGGGTGGCCACCAAGGCAGGGTGGCCCACCAAGGCAGGGAGGCCCACCAAGGCAGGGTGGCCCACCAAGGCAGGGTGGCCCACCAAGGCAGGGTGGCCACCAAGGCAGGGTGGCCCACCAAGGCAGGGTGGCCCGAAAAAGAAAAACTTTCACCATCATTCACTCCATCACTGTCTTGCCAGAAGGGTGCTTTACACTACAGTTTTTAAACTGCAACATTAACACCCCTTCTTCAGAGTGCAGGCACTGTACTTCCCATCTCCAGGACTCAAGTCCGGCCTGCCGATTTCCCTGAACCCCTTCATAAATGTTACTTTGCTCACACTCCAACAGCACGTCAAGTATTAAAAACCATTTGCCCCCATTCACTCCTATCAAACACGCTCACGCATGCCTACTAGAAGTCCAAGCCCCTCGTACAGAAAACCTTCTTTACCCCCTCCCTCCAACCTTTCCTAGGCCGACCCCTACCCTGCCTTCTTTCCACTACAGACTGATACACTCTTGAAGTCATTCAGTTTCGCTCCATTCTCTCTACATGTCCGAACCACCTCAACAACCCTTCCTCAGCCCTCTGGACAACAGTTTTTGTAATCCCGCACCTCCTCCTAACTTCCAAACTACGAATTCTCTGCATTATATTCAAACCACACATTGCCCTCAGACATGACATCTCCACTGCCTCCAGCCTTCTCCTCGCTGCAACATTCATCACCCATGCTTCACACCCATATAAGAGCGTTGGTAAAACTATACTCTCATACATTCCCCTCTTTGCCTCCAAGGACAAAGTTGTTTGTCTCCACAGACTCCTAAGTGCACCGCTCACCCTTTTTCCCTCATCAATTCTACGATTCACCTAATCTTTCATAGACCCATCCGCTGACACGTCCACTCCCAAATATTTGAATGCATTCACCTCCTCCACACTCTCTCCTTCCAATCTGATATCCAATCTTTTATCACCTAATCTTTTTGTTATTCTCATAACCTTACTCTTTCCTGTTTTCACTTTTAATTTTCTTCTTTTGCATACCCTACCAAATTAATCCACCAACCTCTGCAACTTCTCTTCAGAATCTCCCAAGAGCACAGTGTCATCAGCAAAGAGCAACTGTGACAACTCCCACTTTATGTGTGATTGTTTATCTTTTAACTCCACGCCTCTTGCCAAGACCCTCGCATTTACTTCTCTTACAACCTAATCTATAAATATATTAAACAACCACGGCGACATCATACATCCTTGTCTAAGGACTACTTTTACTGGGAAATAATCTCCCTCTTTCCTACATACTCTAACTTGAGCCTCACTATCCTCGTAAAAACTCTTTCAGTAACCTACCTCCTACACCATACACCTGCAACATCTGCCACATTGCCCCTCCCCCCTATCCACCCTGTCATAGGCCTTTTCCAAATCCATAAATGCCACAAAAACCTCTTTAGACTTATCTAAATACTGTTTACTTACATGTTTCACTGTAAACACCTGGTCCACACACCCCCTACCTTCCCTAAAGCCTCCTTGTTCATCTGCTATCCTATTCTCCGTCTTACTCTTAATTCTTTCAATAATAACTCTACCATTCACTTTACCAGGCATACTCAACAGACTTATCCCCTTATAATTTTTGCACTCTCTTTTGTTCCCTTTGCCTTTATACCAAGGAACTATGCATGCTCTCTGTCAATCCATAGGTACCTTACCCTCTTCCATACATTTATTAAATAATTGCACCAACCACTCCAGAACTATATCCCCACCTGCTTTTAACATTTCTATCTTTATCCCATCAATCCCTGCTGCCTTACCCTCTTTCATTTTACCTACTGCCTCACGAACTTCCCCCACACTCACAACTGGCTCTTCCTCACTCCTACAAGATGTTATTCCTCCTTGCTCTATACACGAAATCACAGCTTCCCTATCTTCATCAACATTTAACAATTCCTCAAAATATTCTCTCCATCATCCCAATACCTCTAACTCTCCATTTAATAACTCTCCTCTTCCGTTTTTAATTGACAAATCCATTTGTTCTCTAGGCTTCCTTAATTTGTTAATCTCATTCCAAAACTTTTTCTTATATTCAACATAGTTTGTTGATAATATCTGGTCACAGACCGGGCCGCGGGGGCGTTGACCCCCGAAACTCTCTCCAGGTATCTCCAGGTCACCCACTCTCTCATTTGCTCTCTTTTTACATTGTTTCACCACTCTTTTAACCACTCTCTTTTTCTCCATATACTCTTCCCTCCTTGCATCACTTCTACTTTGTAAAAACTTCTCATGTGCTAACTTTTTCTCCCTTACTACTCTCTTTACATCGCCATTCCACCAATCGCTCCTCTTCCCTCCCGCACCCACTTTCCTGTAACCACAAACTTCTGCTGAACACTGTAACACTACATTTTTAAACCTACCCCATACATCTTCGACCCCATTGCCTATGCTCTCATTAGCCCATCTATCCTCCAATAGCTGTTTATATCTTACCCTAACTGCCTCCTCTTTTAGTTCATAAACCTTCACCTCTCTCTTCCCTGATGCTTCTATTCTCCTTGAATCCCATCTACCTTTTACTCTCAGTGTAGCTACAACTAAAAGGTGATCTGATATATCTGTGGCCCCTCTGTAAACATCTACATCCTGAAGTCTACTCAACAGTCTTTTATCTACCAATACATAATCCAACAAACTACTGTCATTTCGAGCTACATCATATCTTGTATACTTATTTATCCTCTTTTTCTTAAAATATGTATTCCCTATAACTAAACCCCTTTCTATACAAAGTTCAATCAAAGGGCTCCCACTATCATTTGCACCTGGCACCCAAACTTACCTACCACACCCTCTCTAAAAGTTTCTCCTACTTTAGTATTCAGGTCCCCTACCACAATTACTCTCTCACTTCGTTCAAAGGTTCCTATACGTTCACTTAACATCTCTCACCTTTTCTCTACATTCCTCTCTTCTCTAGGTGCATACACGCATATTATGACCCACTTTTCGCATCCAACCTTTACTTTAATCAACATAATTCTTGAATTTACACATTCATATTCTCTTTTCTCCTTCAATAACTGATCCTTCAACATTACTGCTACCCTTTCCTTAGCTCTAACTCTCTCAGATACTCCAGATTTAATCCCATTTATTTCCCCCACGGAAACTCCCCTTTCCCCTTCAGCTTTGTTTCACTTAGGACAATGACATCCAACTTTTTTTCATTCATAACATCAGCAGTCATCTGTTTCTTGTCATCCACACTACATACACGCATATTCAAGCATCCCAGTTTTATAAAGTTTTTCTTCTTCTCTTTCTTAGTAAATGTCTGCAGTAGAAGTGGGTTACTAGCCCATCGCTCCCGGCATTTTAGTCGCCTCATACGACATGCATGGCTTACGGAGGAAAGATTCTTTTCCACATCCCCATGGACAATAATAGAAATAAAAAAGAACAAAAGCTATTTAGAAAAAAAGAGAAAAACCTAGATGTATGAAATATATATATTATATATATAAAATAATATATATATATATATATATATATATATATATATATATATATATATATATATATATATATATCCCTGTTACCTAGCGTGTTATGAGACAGAAAAAGACACCACCAATCCTACCATCATGCAAAACAGTTACAGGTTTCTGTTTCACAGCCATCTGGCAGGACGGTAGTACTTTCCTGGGTGGTTGCTGTCTACCAACCTACTACCTACATAATTGTACCCACATAATTATGGTTGCAGAGATCGAATCATAGCTCGTGTCCCCGCTTTTTTGCTGGTCGCTGCTAGATCTCTCTGCTCTATGAGTTTTATCGTACCTCTTCTTAAAGCTATGTATAAATCTTGCATCCACTATATCACTCTCCAGAATGTTCCACTTTCTGACAACTCTGTGACTGAAGAAATACTTCCTAACATTAATGTAACTCATCTGAGTTCTGAACTTCCAGTTGCTGTGTCATATTTCTGAAGCATTCTGTCCCAGTCCACCTTAACAATTCCTCTCAGTATTTTATATGTCGACATTATGTCTTCCCTATCCCTTCTGTCCTCCAGTGAGTTCCCTTGACCTCTCCTCGTCGGACAAACCCCTCAGCTCTGGACTTGTCTTGCTGCAAACATCTGCACTTCCTCTAATTTCTTGACGCGTTTCACTAGGTGTGGGTTCCATACTGGTGCTGCATAATCCAATATGGACCTGACGTACACGGTGTGCAGTGTCTTGAATGACTCCTTACTTAGATGTCGAAACGCTATTCTAAGGCTTGCCAGGAGCCCATATG